AGAGCGGAGAGATGGACCCACAGCAGCCCCACAGCCCCGTGGCTTTCTGGCTTCTTCACTCCCGTGTTTGTCTTGGCTGAGAGCTGCTCAGGGCTTTTTGAAGCTGAGTCCATGAAGGCAAAGCTGGAGGAATCAGGACACGGGATCACAGAGGAGGGAGCTGGAAGCGGCCTCAGATGCGAAAGTCGAGGTGGTCTCGCAGTGGGTTGATGGTGGACCAGGCTGAGAACCCAGGACTCCTCACACAGTGCTCAACCTGAGTGCACGCTGCTGCCCAAGTGGGCGAAGGCTCTGACACAGGGCTGAAATCCACTGAGCCCTTGATGCCCACCTTCTCCAGGAAGGCATCTGGGGGCTCACAGGTGCCCAGAAGTTGTGTCTCCTGTTCTTGCTTCATGACACACAGATCCGTTCAGACACCAACCAGCTTCCAGGGCCTCGGCGCCCCCAGCAGGGCCCCCCGGCCCCAGGCGGGGGTCTAAGGAGGCCTGGCTGGCCTAGGGGGTTGGGCCAGGCCCCACCACAGCCAACCCCGTAATTCTCAGATCCGGATTCAGTGTTGCCTCCCCCGAGGCCCAGTGGGGACCCTCCCATGTCCTGCTCTGCACAGACGCAGACAAGTCACGTGTCCCACAGCTGAAGGCCTCCCCTGTCCGCCTCCACCATCTGCTGAGGCCCCATAATTATTCCAAAACCTGGTGCAGTCTCACTCTGAGGGGAGAGTTCACATAGCCCTGTAATGTAACCCAGGCCTGCGGCCGCTCAGGCAGGAGGTCCACAGCTGGGTAATGAGCTGCCCGCTTTATTGAATTCCCCAGCTTGGGTCTGACTAATCATTGCCTTTAGCCGAGGCTGCCTGGGCCTTCTGAGAACCCATCTGAGCACTCTTGCTGGGGCCTGCTTTGGCCCTAGCACCCTGATTCTTGCTCCTTACATTCTTCCTCCTCCCAAATATGTTGAAATCAAGGATCAGGGCAAGGGGCTCCCAGGGCGCTGGCCTTCCCCGACCGTTTGGGAGAAAGTGTGGCTGCCTCAGGTCTGGGGGCCCAAGCCGTGGACCAGAACAGGCTGCTGGTTTGGCTTTGCTGGGGCTGCCACAGACAAAAGCAGGACCTGCAGCCCCCGCCCCCACCCCATCTACCAAACCTACTGACTTTCCTTTCACCTCCCCTTTCTGGAGGCCTGGGCCCCGCAGAGGGAGGGCCTTGGCCAAGGAGGCCGCACTGTGGGCCAGGCCTTTCCAAGGGGGAGTGGACGAAAGCGCCTTCTGTGCTCCCTCTTGCAGACTCCCGCCCAGGCTTCTGGACCCACCCCACCTCACGTCTGCAGCCCCGGGCCTCTCTCCCCCTGCCTGCCCCCCCAGCACTCGTGGGGACCTCCAAGAAGGCCTTCACTAGTCTTATCCTGGGTTTGCATGCTGTGTTTTCTCTGTGGACAAGGACGGTTGTTCCTCTGTGTACCCAGAGTACTAAGCACATAGTGGGTGCTTTAAAAACCACCAAGTAAGGAAAGAGGAGGAGATGCTGTGAGAGGTAAGAGGTTTGGTCCGTGCGTGAGCGCCATGGCGTCGGGGGGCTGGCGTGGCATCCCCGTCGTCCCCACCACGCGTGTGACTGGTCTCCAGAGGGGAGAGGCCTGGCCCATTGGGAAAACGATGTCCACTGTGTTGTCCTGTCCAGGCCCCAGTGGCTGGGAAGTTGTTATGTGAAGGGTGAGCCTGAGGTCAAGGGTCACGCAGAGTCCACTGTCCGGGGTCACTTCCTGCAGCTGCACCTAGAGCTGGCCTTGAACCCACCCTGGAGGGTGTGAAGGGGCCGTGCTCCCTGTGGGAGGGGGAGGGAGCTCTTCTGAGTTGAAGGCAGAGCCCAGCCCTCTTGTGACCACGCTGGGCCCAATGTCCCCCGGGCAGGGGGGGAAGGCAGGTGACATCTGCTCAGGTGACAGCCCCGGCTCTACTTCCCCGATGCTCATGCTGGCAGAAGGGAGGCCTGGGCGGGGGGGACAGTGGGAACCGGCCGCAGAGCCCCCCCTTCGGTCCCAGGGGTGTGGTGAGGGTGGGGTGCCTGCCACCCTCCAGTGCAGACCGAGGTAGGACCGCCAGATCTGAGGAACTGTGGGAGGGGCCCAGGAGGGGACTTCAAAGCGGTACCAGAACAGCTTAGAAACACGCTGGGCTGGCGGGGCGGCCAGTGGGGGCCTTTCTAGAGGCTGGAAGCGTGCATGGCTTGTGTGAAGAGCACAGGACTGGGGTCCGGGAGGGGAGGGCAGGGCGTGAGCCGCGGGGCCCTGGGCAGGCCCAGCTAGCCTCTCTGTGACTCGGTTTCCTCTCTTGTACAATGGGGCTCCCAGCGACACCTCCCAGGCTCCCTCCTGGGGCTGGTGGGAGGGCCAGCAGGATGATGTAGGTGAAAACGCTGTGTGGGCTCCGAGCCCTGATCAGATGTTATTTATTATTCTGAGCTGTGTTTTGGTGGGAGACTTGGAAGCGCTGAGAGGGAGAGCCGGGGTGTTCTAGGCCCCTTCTTCCCCGATGCTGTTTTGAAAGTTCTCAGAGTGCAATGGCCAGAAATGGGGCCCTAGGCGGGAAGGAGGCCCGTGCCTCTTGACAGGGCCGAGCTGGGCGGACCGAGGCCTTTTTCATTCAACCCCGAAGAGAGAGAGAGAGAAAACAAGCGAGCGAGGAGCAGGTGGGGTGGGGGAGCTTCCCCTGCTTTTCTGCCCACCCCCTGCCGGCCACCTCGGCTCCGGCTGACCCCAGGCCCTCCCATCACCTCTAGTGGTCTCAGGTGACTCCCCAGAGATCAGCCTCCTCTCCCTGGACACTTGTCCTCACATAACAGGGCTGTGACAATTTTTCTAAGTCCTGCTTAGAAATTTGTCACCATCCATTCCCCTTTGTGGTTTCAAAGGAGGCTGTGTAAGCTGCATTCGTCAAGCGCGGGGCTGAGGCCCTGCTCCCAGCGGCGGGAACACGGGTTTATGAAATTACAGGGAATTCAAAGCAGCCGGCGTCGCCCGCTGTCTGGCTTCATTACCGGGCCCGGCCTCGGAGGGAAGTTTATCCCAATAATTTAGGGGATTAGGATCTGACACCCTTCATTAGCTCTTTGACATAAGCAGAAAAGACAGATCTTGCAGAATGACCCACACGATGGGGAAGACTTGGTAGAGGTGGGGAGAAGGCAACACACACCCCCCTCGGGGAAAAGCCTGCAGGGCAGAGCGAAGCCTTGTACCGCCTTTTTACAGTCAGATGAGATGGTGAATCCTAGCCCTCAAGGGGAGAGTGGACCTGGAAGAGGAGGGACCTGCGTTCAGGACTCAGTTTGCCCACCTGTGAAATGAGAACACTGCTGGGGAATTTCCAGGTCCCTCCTGGCTCTGATGTGGGCTGGGCCCACCCCATCTACTATCCTTGGGACGCAGCAGCTCAGTTCCTGCTCCTCAAACCCTCGGTGGTTTGGCCTTTACAAGGTACCTCTCTCTTGCAGGGATCAGTGACCCCGCTCCCTCACACCGTCAGGGGGTCAAGTGACCCATGCAAATACGCTTCGCCAGCTCACTTTTCGGTGGTGTTTGAGGTACCTGACATTTCCTGCCATAAGGGAGAGAAATGGCCCCCCACCCCCTCCAACGGCAGCTTCCAACTCTTTCCCTGCCCCCCCAATACAGCATCTGATGTTTCCACAAACTTCTTGTCCCGCCTCTAAAAACCAGAGTTGAAGCTGTACCTTGACAGCAGTTCTGACAGCCAGGTGGGTGGAGGGGGGATCCAAAGGCCCTGGCCCGCACCCCACAAACTGGCGTTTCCCATGTTAACGGCGGCATCCCATAGCTGTGCAACGGGGGATGAGTGGCTTAGCCTCTCTGGGCGTCTTTTCCTCCATTCAGCAATGAAGGTAGTTTGTCGTGAGGATGGAGTGTCGTGATGCACACAGAGAGCCCGGCACACACCAGGAACCCAGTAAATATTAGCAATTGGGACGACTCTCCCTGCCCGCGGTGGCTGACCTTGGGCGAGTCGCTGGCCCTCTCCGGCCCTGAACCTTCTCCTTTGTGAAGTGAGGGAACCCAGGGGACGGCCGAGGTGCCCGGCATACAACAGAGCTCAGGCACCGGCTGAGGGGTGGTTAGCAAGGGCGGCCGCTGCCCAGCGCCGTCCTGAGACACCCCGTAGGTTTTCTTGGAGCTGACGAGTGTGTCAATCGAGGAGCGAGGAATGTGATACGTCCCGGCAGCTGGGGGAGCCGGAGCATATCTGGTATGTGTCTCTGGAATGATTTGGGGAAAATTCACCGAAGTTGGAACTTGAGACGCGAACTGCCCGGGGACCGAGCGATAGGGAGCTGTCCGCGCGCACCCCGCCCCCTCCAGCAGCCCCGCAGAGGGACCTGGTGCGGGGGTGGGAGGCGGCGGACCCGGCACGGCACTGCTGCTCAGGCCCGCCCTGGAATGGCCGTGAACTTGTTGTTTTTCCACGTCATTTGCTCTCAAATGTACTATCGGGCCAGGCGATGCTAACCCTGCGGCTGCAGGTCCCTCCTTGTAACAAGCGATTGTGTGTTCTTCAGAGGTGGCCACGGGGAGGAGGGGGCCTGGCCCGAGGAGGTGGGGGAAAGGGAAACAAACCGCTCCTTTACAGGGAGCTTGCGTGTCCTGGAGCCAGCTCCCCCCCAAAGCACATGCCATTTCTGGCCCTTGAAGGGGTTAAAGGCCTCCTGGAGTCAAAAACAAGCAGGTGTCCCACCGTGCCAGATACGCCCGCCTAAACCGCTTCCAGCTTTTTTTATTTTTTTTCCCCTTCTGCAACAAGTCTGTGATCAGCCACGGGACAGAGGATCCAGCAGCCTGCCTGTGACAGGCATCAGGTTAGCTCGCTCCCACTCGGGTGGCGCGCCCAGGATATAAATCCAGGCTCGGGCCCCTGCCGCGGCTCTTCTCCCTGCACACTCAGGAGAGGGAGTTTCCTTGCAAAGACCTTTCCTTTATCTGAAGCCGCGCAGCCCAGCGGGCTCCACTGACTTGGTGGAGGCGGCCGCGGCGGCTGCGAGGAAGCCCGCCGGGGTGGGGAGGGCAGGTGTCTGCAGCCCAGAGAAGGAGAAGGCCCCGGTGGGCCCCAGCCCCTGGCCCCGTCGCAGGGGAGGTCTCGAGCCACCGCAGATCGCATCATGGGGGCCCTGGGGTGCTGCCGGCTCTGGTCCCCCTGGGCGCAGGCGGCACTTCTCCTGCTGCTGCTCGGGGCGCCCCCAAGGGGCCTGGCACTGCCGCCTATCCGCTATTCCCATGCGGGCATCTGCCCCAACGACATGAACCCCAACCTCTGGGTGGATGCCCAGAGCACCTGCAAGCGGGAGTGTGAGACGGACCAGGTGAGTGGGAATCCGGAAGCCTGACGTGGACCACGTGAGGGTGTTAGTGGGAGCCGTGGGCTGGGGAGACTCAGGAGCCCCCCCCCACCCCCGGGAGGATCTGGGAGCGGGAAGGAAGTTGGGCCCCAGTCCACATAAACAGGGAGTGATGTCTGTCCAAGTCCGAGGCCCAGATGAAGAGGTGGGTGTGATATATCCAAGTTCATCCTGGGGTTCCTGGTCTCATGTTTGCTGAGGGGGGCTCTGAGGCAGCACCGGGCCAGGCACATCATGGGGACTGGCACGACCCTTCAGCCCCGCCTCGATAGGTGACAGCAGACACTCAGGACATCGCAGTGAGCATGACGAGGTCCCACAGCCAGGGATGGGAGGGTGGGCTTGGCACCTGCGTCTCTCTGGCAAAGCTGAGGCCTCCGGGCCACCCCCACCCACAGGGGTTCGCACCCTGACCCTGAGATCAGGCCAGGCTGATGGGAGAGTGGGCAGGAACAGCTCTGAATAGACCCCCTGGTTATCCCTGGGAGGGAAGCGGACTGTTTCAACCTGCCAGATTCCTCGGTCCTCCCTTCTGCTCTCGTTAGAGCAGCCTGGGGCAAGCAGCGCAGGCCTGGCGCTAGGGCAGTTCTCTCCCAGCTCCCGAGTCCCAGGGCCATCCCTGCCACTCCCCTCGGGTGATGAAGAAGAGCCTGCTGGTACCTAGCACCTGCCTGGGCAGAGGCGCTTCCTGCTGGCCCGGCCAGTTCCTAGGGCTCAGGGCTGGGCTGGGCAGCACCAGGGAATAGAAGAGACGCTCCATTTGCCAAACGCATGCAGGCTACAGAAAAGCTCGTGACTGCCCTGCAGAGAGTGGTCTCTGCCCCTACGGTGTCCAGGGGACAGTTGTCAGACCTCTCAGGCCGGACGCTGCCAGTGAGCAGTGGTGGTGCTGAGGAAAGGGAAGATGGGGGCAGAGCGCTCCCATTCAGCTGAGGTCATGAGGGTCATTGGCTATGTTTGCAGGGAAGTCTGTTCCACTGGCATGGGCTGGCCTGATAAATCAGGTGGGGTGTGGGACAGTGAGGCTCTGGCTGATGTCTCATGTCTTGGGGAAAAGGCACCTGTGTGGGGCTAGGGACTCATTTGCCTATGGGTATATTCTGAGCCCTCAAGCAAAAACTGTCCTAAGGATTCCTTCTAGGTTTCCTGGGCCCAGAGATACCTTCCCCGCCTCCCTCCCACCCCAACTCTGGGGACCCAAACCTTCATGGACCTCAGGGTCCTAAAGGAGCTCCCTGGGCCTGTCTCTTAAGGAATTTTATGACCCTCAGGCCGAAGAGCAGGTTCTCCTGTCTGCTTCCAGTCTCTCCCGCCCTCTATCCCCCACTGGGTCTCTCACCCTCAGACCCCAGCTCTGAGATCTGCCCATCCCTGTCCCAAAGCCTCCCCTGGCGTGCCCTAGAAGCTTATGCCAAGCAAGGACTGCAAAACAAAGTCCCCATTCTGAGCCGAGAGGGGGAAAACAGTAAACAAGTCAAGCGGGCAGTCTCCACACAGCTCCGGTGGGGGATATTTCCCCCTCTTAGCTGATGTGGAATGTCAAAGAGGCTGAAATAAAAGTCGGAACCACAAGAGGCTAGCCCTAGTGGGGAGTAATTCCCAGAGCTACTACCAGGACGGAGGATTAGGAGCGTTGCCTGCCTGCCCAGTGGGTACGAGGTGTTATTGTCGAAAACACCACGTGAAATCCTTGTTTGTGTCGGTCCCAGAGCATGTTGCTAATTTCGAGGAATTAAACTAATGCCTTACGTGGCTCCACAGAGCATCAAGGGGGATTACAGCCCTAGTAAGTCCTCGCGGACAGCTTTGCTGACCTTTGCCACCCAACGGGGCTGTTTTCCTTGTGGATGTCCCCCACGAAATGTCGCACACGTCAGAGCTGAGCACCTGGGCCTGGCACAGCCCTCCGTGGTGGGACCTGGCGTCCTGGGCCTGTCCCGCCTGCCCTTCCCCTGGGCCCTGAACGAGCGTGGGCCCGCCACGGAGCGGCTGTTCCTGACGCGTGTGCAGCTGGCCTCAAACATCTGTCCCAGAGGTGTCCGATTTTTCCTTCTTAGGGTTTGGCGTGACCTCTTCAATTCGGCCAGGGCATCCTCACCCCAGTGGAAAAAAGAGAGGCAGGGCTCATTTGTTCGCACCTAGACCTCCTTTGTGGTCACCCTATGATGTGGAAGAAGAGATCTCCCTTCAGAGTCCCATCCACCTGGAGCTTGAAGCCCTTTTCCGCCACTTGCCCGCTCTCGGGACTTGGGCGAAACTTCTCCAAGTCTCTGCACTTTCATCTATAAAATGGTAGTCAGAGAAACGTCCCCTCTGGGAGGTACGTGGCCTGCCTCCTCTCACACCTACACCTCACACCACTACCAGCTGTAGCGGACCTCAGGCAAGTGGCCTCACCTCTCCGTGCCTTCGTTATCACTACCTGCGAAGTGAGGCTAATGGTTCTGCCCACCGCCCAGGCCTGTGATGAGCAAGAGAGAAGCAGACAGGTACACACGTTCTTAGAAGAAGGCCCAGCAGATAGCAAGGGCTGCGTATCTCCTGTCGTCATCCGAATGTGTGGCTCACCGTAGGTGGTGAGCACATACCAGTTCCCTTCCGCAGACACGGGGGGCGGGGGAAGCCGGGGCATGCGTCCTGCTCCTCCATGCTCAGGCCTCTCCCTCTGGCTCCCCGCAGGAGTGCGAGACCTATGAGAAGTGTTGCCCAAACGTGTGCGGGACCAAGAGCTGTGTGGCCGCCCGGTACATGGACGTGAAAGGGAAGAAGGGCCCGGTGGGCATGCCCAAGGAGGCCACCTGCGATCACTTCATGTGTCTGCAGCAGGGCTCCGAGTGTGACATCTGGGACGGCCAGCCCGTGTGTAAGTGCAAAGATCGCTGTGAGAAGGAGCCCAGCTTCACGTGCGCCTCCGACGGCCTCACCTATTATAACCGCTGCTACATGGACGCCGAGGCCTGCTCGAAGGGCATCACGCTGGCCGTCGTCACTTGCCGCTACCACTTCACGTGGCCCAACACCAGTCCCTCGCCGCCCGAGACCACCGTGCACCCCACCACGGCCTCCCCTGAGACGCCGGGGCTGGATATGGCGGCCCCGGCTCTGCTCCACCACCCTGTGCACCAGTCGGTCACCGTGGGTGAGACGGTGAGCTTCCTGTGTGATGTGGTGGGCCGGCCCCGGCCCGAGATCACCTGGGAGAAGCAGCTGGAAGATCGCGAGAACGTGGTCATGCGGCCCAACCACGTGCGCGGCAACGTGGTGGTCACCAACATCGCCCAGCTGGTCATCTACAACGCGCAGCCCCAGGACGCTGGCATCTACACCTGCACGGCCCGGAATGCCGCCGGGGTCCTGCGCGCCGACTTCCCGCTGTCCGTGGTCAGGGGGGGTCAGGCGGTGGCCACCTTGGAGAGCACCCCCAATGGCACGGCCTTCCCCGCGGCCGAGTGCCTGAAGCCCCCCGACAGTGAGGACTGCGGCGAGGAGCAGACCCGTTGGCACTTCGACGCGCAGGCCAACAACTGCCTCACCTTCCCCTTTGGCCACTGCCACCGCAACCGGAACCACTTCGAGACCTACGAGGCCTGCATGCTGGCCTGCATGAGCGGGCCACTGGCCGTGTGCAGCCTGCCCGCCCTGCAGGGGCCCTGCAAAGCCTACGCGCCCCGCTGGGCCTACAACAGCCAGGCCGGCCAGTGCCAGTCCTTCATCTACGGCGGATGCGACGGCAACGGCAACAACTTCGAGAGCCGCGAGGCCTGCGAGGAGTCCTGCCCCTTCCCTCGGGGGACCCAGCGCTGCCGGGCCTGCAAACCGCGGCAGAAGCTCGTCACCAGCTTCTGTCGGAGCGACTTCGTCATCCTGGGCCGCGTGTCCGAGCTGACCGAGGAGCCCGACGCAGGGCGGGCCCTGGTGACCGTGGACGAGGTCCTCAAGGATGAGAAGATGGGCCTCAAGTTCCTGGGCCAGGAGCCGCTGGAGGTCACCCTGCTCCACGTGGACTGGAGCTGCCCCTGCCCCAACGTGACGGCGGGCGAGACGCCACTCATCATCATGGGCGAGGTGGACGGCGGCATGGCCGTGCTGCGGCCGGATAGCTTCGTGGGAGCGTCCAGCAGCCGGCGGGTCAGGAAGCTGCGTGAGGTCCTGCACAAGAAGACCTGCGACGTCCTCAAGGAGTTTCTGGGCTTGCGCTGAAGCCCCGCCCCCCCTCCGCCCCTCCCCGGCCCCCTCCCCGGCCCCCTCCCCGGCCCTCGTCCACCTACCCACCCCCCAACGCCCCTCAGTCCGCAAACTGGGCAAGGTCAGGCTCGACAGTTGTAGGCCAGTGGGGAAAATCCACCCGAGGTTCTTAGAACAACTTCTAGTCTTGGGCTCAAAAAGGGGTCTGTATCTTCTTTAGCTGAGGGGGACCAAAGGAGAAGCCACCAGACACCTGCAAGCTATTCTTGATGACCAGTTGGTGGGGCGTTGTGACCCTCTCTGTGCTGGTCAGCTGCCTCTGCTGGCTCTCCCTGCCCCCAGCCAGCTCCCAGCCAGGCTTTCGGAGGTGGCGTCTGCACGGTCATGGGAATCACAGAATGAATCGGTTTGCAAAAGTTGTAGGTGGGGAGAGAAAGGAGGGACCAGGGACTCTTTGGACAAATACCCCAGAGCCCCCTAGATCACTACGAGCAGAAACCACTTCATTTTAGGGCTTGTGGGACGCGGGGAGTGGGGGGCGGGGGGAGGGCATGGTCTGACCCAGCACACCCCTTGTCCTGAGGCGGTGGTCAGCCCGTGCTTCGGTCAAGTGGGCCCTGCGGTCTCTGAGGCCACCATGGCACCAGCAGAATACACATCCTTCATGTTTCTCCTTGGCTTTATTGGTTGGTTTATTGATTGTTGATGTATTAATTTAGCTCTGTTCAGTCCGACTCAATGGACATTTTCTGAACACTTTCTGGGTACCAGGTGCTAGGACACAGATATTAGTCAATGCCCAGCTCCTGGTGACTGAATGTGAATGTCCAGATCCCAGGGTCCCCGCCACCCCCCCCCCCCCCGCCCCGGGGAAGCAGACCCATGGCTGGCCTTCCCAACTGTCAAATGGTCCCATTGGAAGGACAGTGTGCTTTCATCTGCCACTGGCTTCCTTGGACAGAAGGCAGATAGAAGCCCCAGGATCTGTTCTGGTGGGAAGGGAGATAAAGGGAAAGTCCAGGTTGGGATGGGGAGCAAGGTGAAAGAAGGGAGGGAGGAGGGGAGTCAGGCTTGGGAAGGAAAAGGAATGTTGCTCGATGCTCCCATCTGGTGGTGGCCTTGGGAGCTGCAGGGACCTGAGGGAGGCTCTAGGTGAGAGCTGGGAGGGTAGGTTTGGGAATGTGGCAGCTTGTTGGTGACTTCTCGTTTCTGGACTTCCTGTGCAGGTCCAGCCACCCCCCCACCCCACCCCACACACACACACTAGATAAATGACTTGGGAAAGCCACTGTCAGCTCTACATCTGCTCCCCCATTCCCTCCTCCGCCCTTCCTTCTGTCCAGGCCCCCCCAAAGGAGAAATGATCATTGTGGGGCATCCTCGTTTCTTCCTCCAATGTAGCGAGGAAGGTACCAATTAAAAATTCATAGTATCAACAGCCCTTCTTGTGTGATTTGTTTGGGTTAATGAGTGTGTGTGGTGGGGGGGGTGTGTAATTTGCTCTGGTGATCAGGAGGGAAGTCTGGCCAATAGGACCATATTTGGGTGATGGAGGGACACGAACATTCACCCCACTTTGGAGCTCTGAGACTCCTTAACTGTGGTGCTCTCCCCAGCTCAGGAAAGCCGAGGCCAGAGAGGCCAGGTGACGTCCCCCAAGAACACAGAGGCAGGAAGATTGGGGACTTAGGCCCAGATGTTCTAACTTATGTCTCAGGCCCCCTGCCCATCACGACAGCATGGTGGGCCAGGGGCAGACTCCGGACCCTGTCACTGATGGTGTCGTGTTGAGAGGCACAAAGCTGAAGGAGACATGAGCGGGGCAGAAAGAGGTGGGCCACCCAGCTATAGCTCCCCAGGGTGCTTCTGGGTGAGGCCTGGTCGCAAAGCCGTAGGCATGCTCAGAGCACAGGGCTCAGTTCCCAGGATGGAGACAGCAGCACCTTTGGCCTCAGGTGCTTGGGACGGTTCCCTGTCCCTGGAGATGTGTTCAGGAGCCTGTGGCCATGACGGCATGCCTCACAGCTCGTCTGGCCCTCAGGCTGCAAGCCAGCCAAGCTCAAGAGACACCTGTCCCCTGTCCACTTCCCTGGGTCTTCCCAGGCCACTGTCCCAAGGAGGAATGCGCACCCAGCCCCACCCAGCCTGGCCCAGTCTAGCCAATCCTTCCTTAGAGAGAATTCCTACAAGAAGGAGGGGGCCAGCATGGGGAAGGCAAGCTCCTCCGGGGCCAGAGGAGTGCGAGCTTCTCAAGTCACCTTTGGGGAAATGCTGAACACTAACAGCCGCCAGGAAGGTATGAGTACTAGCCACGGGCCCCTCCCTGCTTGGGTCAAAGAACCAGGGAGGTGAGGACTCAGCCTTAGAGGCCTGGGGACATTCTGTTGCACCTGCTTCTAGGCTGAGATGGCCCAATAAGTAACACACTAGCTTAGAGCCTGATGGGTCAAGTGTCCACATGCTATAGCATCTGTCATCTCCCTTCCTGCACTGACATGGGGCCTAAGCCCTGTGGCTGCCTGGTGGAAGTGTGACATTCAGGGGACACCGATGTCAGGGCTCCTTCTCACCAGCTCGCAGCACCTGGGGTCCCTGTCCTTCCCACTCCGGCCCCAGCCCGGCAGAGTGAGAAAGCCCGGCCGGTGCCGTCAGACCCACCTGGGTCTGACACTTCCCCGGTGTCTCTCCGCGTCTCAGTTTCCTCATCTGTAAAACAGAGGGTAGTAAGTGCACTTCCTGGAGACTTGGGGAGCTTGGCCCTATTAACCTTGCCAAACAGAAAAGCTTAGGAGACAGAGCCTGGCACAGAGCGCTGCCCCAGCGCCCTCCTGGCCCTCAGCAACTGCCTGGCTGACAGCAGGCCCCCAGGACCTAAAGCCCTCGCCTCCTCCTGCTGGGCCTGGGATTTCACACTGAGTGAACATACAGCAGCTGCAGGTATTTTAGTCTGTTACCCGCAGAGCACATTCAGAAGGATCACCCCGCGTGTTTGGGCTTTAGAAAATACAGGCACTTAGGGAATGGGCATCTATTATAATGTTGGACCTACTACGACGTGGCATGTATTTCTCTGTCCTTGAAACCAAGCTTGAGTCTCTGATCCCTGTTACCCAGGTGTTACACAGTAACTGACCTCTAGTAGGTGCTCCATAGAGGTTGAACCGAATTCCCAGGGTCTGGTTGCTGGGGGAGCTTGGGGAGGCTGCCCACCCAGTTTGGGAGATTTGGCCCCAGCCTGGGCCCCAGGACACAGGGGGATGGAGCCCCCCTACAGGTCTGAGGCCAGACTCACCTGCCTTCTTGTCTACACTTCACACTTGCTCCTTCCCTCCTTGCATCTGGTGGCTCCCCTCCCCGTCCTGCTCCCGCTCCAGTCCATCTCTGTTTGCCTCTTCAGAGGCCTGGTCTGGCGCCGGCTGTCTCCAGACCAGCCCGAGGCCTCTGGGGCAGGACAGCTTGGCTTTTTCCACCCTCCGCCTCCCCCAGCACCTCGAGCCTCCTAGGACACTCTGCTCCATTGTTTGGCCAGCAGCTCCATAGTCTGACGTCACCCCCTGGACAGTGGGGCCAGAGAGCAGGGACCAGGGTGGAACCTGAGGAAGAAAGGGGGAGAACAAACACACAGCCGCATGGTGATTTCCCCAGGCGGGGGGTGCGGGGCGGGGAGCGCCCAGGGTCCAACTGTCCTGTTATAACGTCAGCACTTTGCAGGCGCTCACCATGGGACAGGCACCAGACGTCATCTCTTGTCTCCATCACGACTCTACAGCACAGAACACTATTCTGTGGGTAGGGAAACTGAGGCTGGAGGAGACAAGAGATTTGCCCAAGATGACCCAGCTGCCACGTGGCAAAGCCAAGACCTGAACACAGGCAGTTGGCTTCTCTCAGTATGTGATACACACACACACACACACACACACACACACACACACACCCTGTTCTGGGCTGGACAGTGTGGAGCCCCATCAGGACCCCAAACATCTCCCAAGAGCCTGCCTCCCATCAGCCACCCCGGGGCTGTCTTCTGACCTTGCCACGTGACATGATATTTCGCTCACACACATAAGCAATCATGGCCTACATTGCTGAGTGAGACATCAGCCTTATGCCTACTCATCCTCCCAGACTCAGCTCCCCCCGGGGGAGCCTCCGCTGTCCCCCAGAGGCAGCAAGACCCTTCCATTGTCTGTCTCCCTCTGCACGTGCACCACCCAGGCTGGAAGCACTGCCTGGGGGATCCCGGAGGTCTGAGGGGGGCCCAGTCCCCAGGGCTCAACAACGGGACAAGGGGCTTGCTGGATGAACCAAGGGTCCTGGGACCAAGGGCCCCGAGGCGCACTGGAAGCCTGCAGGGCTGTGGAGGGGCTTCCCTGGGGTTTGCCCTGCTTTTCCCCAGCTCTACTTCCTGATACCCTCTCTTCTTCCTTCTCCTCCCCCTCCCACCTCCTCCAGGAGTCTAGAGTCTCTCTCCCGCTCTGGGAATGTGTGATTAATATAGGCAGGATGGGTGGCAGGGTTCCTGGGTCCTATTTGTGGCTGTGGCCTCATTCTGGAATGTGCCCTGAGGTCAAGTGACACTCATCTCTCAGGCTGTGTCAGGAGGAAGGAAGAAGAACCCTCCAGCTGGCGTTCTCCTGAGGGAGACGGAAGGGCAGGCAGGTGGGCAGGCCTACCACCCCCCCCTTCCCGCCTCTCTGGCTCCCAAGCTCTTCAGCACTTCTATTTCAGGGTTGGGTAAGAATCTCTGTGTCCACATCCCAAATTACCCCCAGGACAGGGACCTCTGGCATCTGGCTCCCCAGCGACACCCTGGCCATCCTCCCCCCCCCTCAGGTGAAGGGAAAACAGGACTCAGCTCCGACACCTCTTGGATTGGACCCTCTTGGAGGTGGGGCCTCTTCCCAGCATGTCTGTCCGGGTGAGGGCAGTGAGCGTTTTCTGCCCTTTTTCCAAGTCTTGATACTGCGGGATGAGGATGTACCCATCCTGATCATGTGTGCTGTCTCCGTGTG